GAGCTAAAAATAACCCCAAACTGGGTTCCGCAAACGAGATTTTGAAGTTTACTTGTTACACCAGCGTGGCCTCGCTGGTCCTGACCAGAACACGTACACAGCCAACGTCTGCTGGGTGCCCTCTCTGTGTGGGCCCAAGTTCTAGGCACGGATACGTGTTGCCTCATCTCATCCTCCCCACAACCTGTCGGGTACGCAGTGTGCTCCCATTATCCCCGGTCTGTAATGAAGGATGCTGAAGCTCAGAGAGAGAGGTTCGGCGGCGTGCTCAAGCTCCGGACGTGGCTGAAGCAGAATATGACTGGTCTGTCGGACTAAACGCCAGTGATTTTACCTAATATCTCATATCTGATAAATAGTCATCAGGCTACACTGTTACGGGTGTGGATAACTAGTCCCGTGTCCCCAAAGGGCTCAAAGAAGTCTGATGTGTCCCAGCAGGGAGTGGCTGGGGAGACCGAAGCCCAGAGAGGTAACTCCGGCCAGTGTTCTTGCACCTACCGCACCCGCACCGCACCACCTACTGAGGGCCCGTGGCTGATGCTGCTGGGGTGTGCTTGGAGGGCGAGAGCCAAAAGCGGTAGAGCTCCCCTTGCTGGCGTGGCAGCAGCAGCAGAAGAACTTGGACGCCATGTGTTGGTGGGCTGGGTCAGAGGAAAGGGCCCCGGGGCTCTGCAGCCCCAACCCCAGAAGCCCATTGTTGTTTCAGCGCTGGGTCACACTGGGCCAGCCTCTCCCAAGGCGTCATACCCCCTCCCCTCCCAAAGCGCCTGCGCTCCCTGTGGCCAGCACGTCCAGGCCCACCTGTGTGGACCTACTTCTGACCAGTCCTTCCTCGTCTGTCCAGAGTTCTCTTGCCTTTGAAAAGGACCTGGAGCCTCTGCTCTGCTCGTCTTTACCTGCAGGGGTGTGTTGTTGAATCAATAGATTTGCTGCTGACCCAGCTCAACCTTGCTGATTCACAGCCTGGCTCTGCCACTAATTTGCTGTGTGGCTTTGGGCTCCTCCGTGCCCGTCTCTGGGCCCGGGCTCCCATCTTACGGGCAGTGGTTGGGCTGCACCATTTCTCCAACGATACTTGAAGCTCTGATGACCCAAGGTTGTACATCCTTGTCATATTCCCAAACCTCTCTCTCTTTTCTTCTGGGCCTGGTTCACTGGCTGAAGTGGAAGCCATGTGGGGTCTGGCCCTCTCCTGTTCTCACTTCCCTTCCCCTGTGGCCAAAGCCCCACTCTGGGAATTTCCATCATGGTGGCTGTATTCACTCGCCGCACGCTGGGTTCAGTCCAAGCCTCCCCCTTGGGCACTGGCTCCCCACCTCTGCTGGGCACCACCAGGTCTCACCTGGGTCATTGCAGTGGCCTCCTCACTGGCCTCCCTGCTTCTTCCCCCCTCGTCTTCATTGGTGTCCACGCAGCGGAATCCTCCTGGAATCGAAGTCACGTCAGTCACCCTTCTGCTCGGAGTGTCCATGTGCCATAGTGTCGAGCTAACTGATGGCTCTAAGGACAACCAACCGACAGGTTTGCTTTTGGCCACCTGCTGGTGGGGCCCTCTCCCTTCCCCACCCTCATCAACCCCAAACTATTTCTTTTCTGCTCATGTCCCCTATTTTGGGATCAGGTCCCACTATTCCCTTTGTGTCTGGAGTCAGAGAAAAGGACCCTCCTCCCCCGGGCCCTGCCTCCCCTTCCTTCTGCATTCAGTCATCCGTCAAGGCATTGTGATCCTGCCTCATGGATATCCTCTCCATTGCCTGCACCCTCCGCGCCCGCCGCGACCACAGCTTCCCCACTGAACCCTGGCTCACCTGCAGGCTGGTCTGCCTCTGGAGCCAATCCCATCATCATCCTCTTCCTCAAACCCTCAGTGCTTGACACTACTTGGTGGTCTGGCCCTGCCCATTCTGCCAGCTCCTTCCCTCCCAGCCTCACCCATTGCCCTCCGGCTGTAGGAGCTGCTGGCCGTCCCCCAGACTTGCTCTCACTGTGTCACCACCATGCCTTGGCACAAGCTGTCCCCCTACCTCTGTGTCCTCACTCCCCACCCCTCACGCTGGAGACTCCGCTCTGGGGCTGCTCCCTCCTGAAAGCCATCTCTTACACCTGGGGAGGAGTTAGGGGCCTGTCTTGTGCTCCCAGGCCCCCGGGCTTCCCTGGGTCATGGCCATTGCCTGTCTTCGCATAGCCCCATAGCAGGTGCTCAATACATATTTGTTGAATGGATAGTATTTTCACTGCCTGTGTAGTTGCCTGTGAGAGTGTAGACTCCCAAGCTGTGATATTAGGAATTCGTCCCGCATGTGCTCATTGAGGACCTCCGGTGTCCGGCACTAGCTGAGGGGTGCAGCAGTGAGCACGAGCAAAGAGATTCCTGCTCCCAAAGAGGCAGGGATGTGCCCAGTTCGCCTTTGTCCCCAGTGCTGAGCGCAGGGCTTTGCAGAGAGCAGGTGCCCTGTCGGTAAACCCAGCAGCCCTCTCTGGTGCACGATATACACAATATTTTCCCTGCTCTCCCTTCCACTAACAGATGTTGTACTTCTGCTCTTAGAAATGGGTAGAAACATCCCGACTCTGTACTTACCTCAGTGCCCCTGGTGACTTCAGTCTTGGAAGTTAACAGGGCGGGAGAGACAGCCACGGTGTCAAGGACGCTGGCCTTTCACTGGGCTTCTTGGGCAGGTCCTTTGACATCTCTGAGCTCATGTAGCTTTTCAGATGGTGGAACTGAGCCCCAGATAGGTGACTCCCGGGGCTCACAGCCAAAAGGGGCAGCTGGGAGTTCAGCGTAGTTTTGTCTGGTGTCCGAGCCTGTGCTGCCCAAAGCCTTGCCCTCCAGGCCCTTCCAGGGGCCGAGAGATGTTCAGAAGCACCTCATCAGAGAGTGGCTGGCAGGTGGCTTTTAAAGGGAAAGGCTCCCCTGAAGCTTGGCTGAGCCGCGTGGTAGTTAAGAGCATATCTGTTTTTAAAGATTTTATTTATTTGAGAGAGACAGAGAGAGAGTGCACAAGAGCAGGGAGAGGGAGAAGCAGACTCCCCGCTGAGCAGGGGGCCTGACGCGGGTCTCGATCCCAGGACCCCCAGGTTCAGGACCTGAGACAATGGCAGAAGCTTAATGACTGAGCCCCCAGGCGCCCGAGAGCGGGCCTCTTATTAGATAACTTGGGATGTGCTTCTTGCCGCACCCTGCTGTGTCGTGGAGCGCCTTTGGCCCCTTGAAGCCCCCTTTCCTGTCTGTAAAACGGGGATGGTAAAGCGCACCCCGGAACGTGGAGAGTCGGGGGGCGTGGAGAGTCGGGGGGCGTAAAGGACAGACCGAGGGTGCCCTGGGGGCCGACGGTCTGGGCCGCAGGTGCGCGGTGTCCTGCGCTACCGGGGCCCGCCTCTAGGTGGGGGCAGGAGCCAGAGCAAAGGGGCCTCGGCTTGGGCCCCGCGGGCTGTGAGCCTCCAGTATCCAGGGCCCCAAGCCCCGGGAGGGGACAGAAGGACCCAGTGGGGCCACCCTGGAAGGCTCCTGGAGCTGGGAGCCCCCGGCTCGGCTGGCACGGGCGGGGAGGCCGGGGCCCAGACCCGGGGGGTAAGGGGGGTCAGGGCAATCGGGGCTGGTGGACACCCCCTGCACCTGGGCGTGCAGGCTGTGCAGCGGGGACGGGCACGCTGTGCCTGTGGGGCCCGGGGAGCGCCGTCCTCCGCCGGCCTGGCCGGGGGCTCGCTCACCTGCAGCTGGCCGGGCACATGGGGTCTGTGATGTCACAGAGCCAGGGGCCCAGGGAATGCTGGGCTGCGAGGAGGGGGCAGCGGGGACTGTCCCTGTGCGGCCCTGCGCTGTGTGCCCGGGCCGTGGCCTCCCCCGCGCCCACTAGGGGTGGTTCCCCGTCCCGCGTGTCCCACCTCCTTAGACCAGTACAGGCTGTGCTGCTCCCGGGCCTTGTGGGCCCTTAAACCAGGGGGTGGGAGCTTGATGAGCCACAGCAATCCACGGCGTCTCTCCACCCAACGCCTCATTCCTTCCAAGGGGCGAGGTCGTAACCTGTGGAGGGGAGCCTGGCAGTGTAGGCGTCTTCGGCAGGTGACCTAGTTCATGTCACCCACGGCAGGACCGCCCTATGCCGTGTGTCCCCTGACAGGATGCGCTGGGGGGACAGCGTCACTGCTGTGGTCTTCCTGCCAAACACGGGAAACCAGAATCCAAAAATGAACACAAATGGGGGGGGGCACCTCGTAAGACGGTTGTGCCCGTGTCCCTCAGAAACGGAGAGCTCCCGAAGATAAAGACCGAACTGTTCTGGGTAAGGACACGCGGTGGGGACACGGCAATGCCCGTGACTCATGATATTGGGTTCGACCCTGCACCGGGTGGCGAAGCAGCTGGAAGACATTTGGGGGACCCTTGGTGACACTAGCATCTCAGTGTCGGATTTCTTTTTCTTTTCTTTTCTTTTCTTTTCTTTTCTTTTCTTTCTTTTCTTTCTTTTCTTCTTCTTCTTTTTTTTTGAGAACTGTCCTGGAGTTCTTCTCTAAGAGAATATGCTTGTTCTCAGGGCGCGCACACCGACCTGGTCGGGGGAACCAGGTCTGAGGGCACCGCTCGCTCTCAGATGGTTCGGAAGGAACTGACCCGGGGACACAGAGACGAGGCAGGAGGGAGCAGGTGGGGGGAGATGCAAGCAATCGTGAGTCTGGGTGAGGCATCAACAGGGGTTCTTTGCACCTATTGCAACTTTTCAGTAAGTCCAAGATGGTTTCAAGACGAGAAGAAGCTGTCCGCAAGGCTTAGATTTTTTGTTTTCGGCGAGCTAGGCATGACCATGTGCTTAAAAACAGTAAGGAGAAAAAGAAAAAAAAAAAAACCAGTAAGGAAGACAAGCCAGTAAGGCTTTGGAAGAGCTACTCCCTGGCGAGGAGGCGGGGAAAGAGGAGACACAGCCTGTGCTGTCACCAAGTGCTTTATTTGGAGGGAGCCCCCCCTCCCCGCCCCCGACAGTGGTGCTGGTGGCACAGAGGTGGCTCAGACGTCTTCTCCTCCTCGGGGGGGGGGGGGGGGGAGTTTCCGAATCTGTCTTCACGGCCCCTGCTCGCCGCCCCTTCCTCCCGGAGCCTCGCTGGCAGCGTGCTGGTAGCAGACTAGAACGCTCAGGGTCTCCCGGTGTGGCATGGCTGGAATGGCCAGCAATCCTGGGAGTAGTGGGTTGGGTTTCTCTTGTAAAAACCTCTTGGGGAAACGTGTGTATTCCCTTCTAGAAAGAAGGAAGGATGGAATTATGGCGCTGGGTGGAACCTTGGCCCTGGGTGTGGACGGAGCACCCTGGTCACCTCCATCCCCAATCATGGTCAGATTCTGGAACACTGGGTGAGCCACGTGGACCCCGGGCTGGGACTCGGGGGTCCTGTGTGACAGGGACACGTCAAGAAGTTCCATGTTTGGGGCAGCCTGGGTGGCTCAGCGGTTTAGTGCTGCCTTCGGCCCAGGGCGCGATCCTGGAGACCCGGGATCATGTCCCGCGTCAGGCTCCCTGCATGGGGTCTGCTTCTCCCTCTGCCTGTGTCTCTGCCTCTCTCCCTCTCTCTGTATCTCTCATGAATGAATAAATAAATAAAATCTTAAAAAAAAAAAGAGTTTCCGTGTTTGTACTGCGTTTGCACGTTGAGTGATGATGAGGGGACTTGCAAAGAGCAGAGGCCTGGAAAGTGAGAGAATGGGGCCCGTCCTGTTCTAACGCCACCCCCTGCCAGTGGGCTTTTGGAAGGTCCCTTCCCCCTGTGGACGTCCGTCTTCTCTATGCAACGGAAGGTGGGATTTTGAACTGGGATGCACGGAGCCACACGCGGGAGGGAGTGGCGGCGCTCGTGGAGCTCCCAGGCCCTGCCCTGGATTCAGGGGCAGTGGGACCCCTTTCGTCTCTTATTGCAATTGGACTTTGTGTGAGGTTCTGCTTGCCAGGAGGGTGTGGCTGTTTTGAGAATTCTGAAACGTCTGGGCCGCGCTGGCCCTTAGCTCTCAGCAGCCGGCCGCCCAGGGTGTTTGGGAGCTGAGCGGAGGAGTCATTTGTTCCTCCCGGACTGGGCTTCTGTCCTGCTCCTGTTGCCCCTGAAGTGTTTCACCCCCAGCTGAACTACACTCCAGTCCACAAGCATTTTCTGGCCTTGTTTACTTGCCACCTACCTGGCTGGGTTTGTCCTCCTGGGACTTACCCTCTAGCGGCCAAATCAGACACGAGAGCAACAGCCACACCCAATACACACATGAGACAAGGCCCCGGGGCTTAGGGGCATGGATGTGTGCTCCATGTGTGAGGTCTGCTGCTCCTCATGTGATTCCCAGCTCGGGAGGTTGTGCAGGCAGGTGTCAGACTCCAGGAATCCCTCCAGTGTGTTCTAGAATATGACTGTGGCTTCCTGGAGGGAGTGGTCCCGTCTCCTCTGCCACCCCACTTAGCTCAGATATCAAAGGGATTTGGTCATCTGGACGGTGGGGGGGTTCCTGGTTGGCGCTAGGATCCCAGTCTGGGACTCACCCTCATGCTCATTATTGCTGGTGGAGGAGGCTAGCTTTTCTGGACCCATCAGGGGTTGTCCCAAAGGCAAGCGGGAGGCTTCGTTAGCACGCTTGGGATTCTTGCTGGCCAGCTCCTCCTTCTGTAAGCCTGGCGGTCATAATTCCACACCGTCGGGGGCAGGGGAGGCTCAGGAGAGGTGGCGGGAGTGAAGGGGTGTCACCCAGCTTGTCGGGGTGCACGTGGGCCAGAGGTGGTTATTACAGGGTAGGGACCACGTGGATCTCCCTCCTCCAGTCCTCTGAACGCTCTGCCTCCTAAGCACATGCTAGGTTCAAAATATGTATGCTCTTTCAAAAATCATAAAGTTTAACCTTTTTCTCCCGTTTATAAATGTGAATGCGTATCCGTTACGGAAAAACTAGGGGACACCGAAGAATGTGAAGTAGACACAGAAATGCCCCAAACGCCCATCCCTTCAGATGTGGTCACAGTTCTCGTCGTCTCTTATGCATTTTTTTTACGTGGCCCATCGTATCCCACATGTCGTGTATGCATTTTATGTTTTTCATATACGTCATGTCAGAAATGTTTTTCTCGGGTCGCTGAATTTTTAAGAACCAACGGTTGTATAACATTCTGTTTTGCAGAGAATTCAAGAGTCACTTAATCTTCTTTTGTCGGGAGTCTAGGGTGTTTCTGCTACATAAACACTGTTATGGTGAACATTGTACCTAAGGCTTTGTTTTTTTTTTTCTTTTTAAATTTTTTTATTTATGATAGTCAGAGAGAGAGAGAGAGAGAGAGAGAGAGAGAGAGAGAGAGAGAGAGGCAGAGACATAGGCAGAGGGAGAAGCAGGCTCCATGCACCGGGAGCCCGATATGGGATTCGATCCCGGGTCTCCAGGATCGCGCCCTGGGCCAAAGGCAGGCGCTAAACCACTGCGCCACCCAGGGATCCCTAAGGCTTTGTTTTTATGTAAAGACCTCTAAATTCTTAAAAGTATAGCAACTGACTGAGCTGTGTCCTGTAACACAGAGCTCTGTCCTTTACCAGATGCCTAACTGCAGCAAATTGCTCCCCTCCCGTGCCTGTTTTCAGAGCTGCGAAATGACACATCCATTTTGGGTCATCATGTCCCCTTCTCAGAATTATTGTAGGGATCAGATAATATCACTGCTGCCCGATGTCAGCTCTGAAACAGTGGGGGACTTACCTGATCGCAGCCGGGTCCCTAGTGCTTGGACAGTGCCCTTGCATGTAATAGGGGCTCAGTCACTATCACTGTTATTATCTTGGAAAAAGGGATGGGCGTTTTTCAGATTCTCGGTTTCTATTGTGCAGTTATTTTTTGCGGGGGGGGGAGGGTGTGTGGTTTCAGACCCTCTCTGTGGATTTCTGGCAAAACGTGCCAGGAGAATTTTTCTCCTGCTGTTGAACCTGTGCTGGCCGCCTCCCTGGCCTCCCTGCCTTTTGTTTATTGGTTTGGGTTAGGAAGTCCCCATCTGATATTTTAGGTTCGAATCATCATTCAAAAGCTGAAGGAAATCTGAGGGTATCTCAGCGGAAGGGGGACAAACACCATGAGGTCTAGAGAGGCCAGGCGGGGTGTTCTTGTCTGGTACCTACTGCAGGTCGATGGCTGAGGCTCTTGGGTTTGACTGGGGACCTTGGAGTCATCCATGGAGTGGGGCTCCTCACAGTCTCTGCAGCATAAGCTGAAAATCTTCGAGGCCAGGTTTTGGTGGGCTGCTGTAGAGGTAAAGGAATGGGGGCCATGGTCTCTGGGACCTGGCCTCTAGACGCTCATTGGAAGTTCTCCATGATGGGCTGAACTGGGTCAACCTCTCCCAAGGGATAATAGCCTTTCCTGTTCCCAAATCTTGCATAGCTTCCCATGGCCGTGGGCCCAGGCCCTTGTGTCTAGGTTACCCCCTCTTAAAACTATTTTTCCCGTTCTAAATAGTATTTTCTTACCCATGGAGAGGAGTTGAAGCCTTTACTCTGCCAGCTTTGCCGGTAAGGGCACTGTGCTGAATCAGCTGATCTTGATTTGGAGCCCAATTCCCTGGGCAGGACTGTTTCCTAAATAATCATAAGATTATTATGGGTAAAAAATGCTGGTCCTTTACCTGTTCTCCCAGTCCAGTTGGGCTCCCCCTACCGCAGATTCCTGGCTTGTACAGAAATATGTAAGGACATGCTCCATAGTCAAGTCCATCCACGTTCTGGCCCATTTCTAGGTGCACATTCTTGGGTAGATTCCTTAACTTTCTTGAACCTCGCTTTTTTGATGGGGAAAATGGGAATGCAGTGCCTCCTTCCAGAAGTAAAGGGTTAAAAGTCACCCCCGTGGTGTTTGGCACATAGTACATGCCCAGTAAATGGCCATTCCATTCCCTTTCCCATCCCTTCATGTGGCTTGCTGGCTTCCAAATATCCTGGCTGGTCCAGGTCCTGGGGGGACGCGGCCGTGAAGCACAGGCCTGCAGGTGTAGGGCCTAGTGCTGCCATCAACTTGCCAACTGGCTGTGGCTAAGTTCATGTGTAGCTCTGTGTCTCCGGAGCCTCATCAATCACAAGAGAAAGTTAGGCTACACGGTATCTTCAAGGACCTTTCTAGATCTGATGGTCCAGAATTAGAAAACCTTGTTTTAGTCCCAAACTCCTTTGTCCCTGGGCACTTCCTGTTCTTACTCCCCTTTCCATGGCAAGACCCCCTTTTAGGAAATTCTTATCATGTATGGGCTGAGGCCCCTCACAAGACCCAATTCACCATGTGAGCTGCCTCACTCATGGCCACTTGCTTCTCAGTTTCTCAACTACTATCCCCTGCTCTGAGCCACCCTTATCTCTTGCCTGAATTAGAATAGTCTCCTAACTGGTCTCTCTGTTTCTTTTACTCTTGACTTTTTTTTTTTTTTAAGATTCTATTTATTTATTCATGAGAGACAGACTGAGAGAGGCAGAGACACAGGCAGAGGGAGAAGTAGGCTCCCTGCAGGGAAGCCCGATGGTAAGACTCGATCCTAGGATCCCGGGATCACACCCTGAGCCGAAGGTAGAGGTTCACCCACTGAGCCTCCCAGGCCCCCCTACCCTTGACTTCTTAAATTAATACAAGATCTTTAACTTCCGGCACATAACGCTGTTTGATGTAGCACAACTTCTATATTGTGCTTAGATACAGCCGGCAGCCTCGACGTGTACCAATGTCCCCATCTTGCAGCATCCTTGGATCAAAGGGGTCCTCCCTGGGTTCGGTTAGCCCCCATCTCCAACAGTCTTTTGGATTTGTCGCCAAGTGAGTTTTTCAACATGATTTGAGCTCTGATGCATTTCCTTGAGCTCTCTTCAGTGAATCTGTTGTATCTCCTTAGGATTTATAAGCAGGTAGAAATTTATATAAGGCGACTAGGTCTTTTGTTTTGGAGACGCCCCATTTAGCAAATAGGCCTGACGTTAATACGCTTATTCTGCTGCTCGCTTTAGTTTCAATTTCCTTCATGTAGATTCTGGCCTCATGGGATTTGGCTTTGTGCTGGATCGCCTGACGTATGCTGAATGTGGAAGGAGGTGTTTCCTGAGGAAGGAGTGGAAGCACAGGTCTTGACAAGCCCTCACCATAGGTCAGCCCCGAGGACTAATGGTTGGGGGTCTGTTAGCCGATGATCAATGTGTATAAAGGTAATTGCTAAAATTCTGCCTTGGGTCCGTCTGGACCCTCGTGAGCACATGTTTCGTCTTGTTAACTCAATGAAAGGTCACTTGACTCAGCCTATGTTCTGGAATAAGTGATTTCCAGGTTATTGATCAGTGGCCTCGCTTAGGCGCTCTTAGGCCCGGGAATTCAAGACACCACGCGTAACTGTGGTCACCTGTGGAGTGTTCTCTGCTGCTTGTCGTGGTTTCATCTACATTAAAGTTGCTGCCTCTTCCTGGAAAACAAACTTCTGCCTCACATATATATTCACATGCACTTTCATGTGTGTGCTTATATTAATAAATGAAAGAATTTCACCAGATGACTTGGAATTACGGGCACTATGGCAAACCTTTAATGTCTAAAATAAGAGATTGAAGAGGGGCTCTTGAAAAAGAAGACAAAAACACCAAATATTCAGTAGAGAGAGCTTCTTTGATTGGTATGTTCTGATCTCAGAAAGAAAGAAAGAAAGAAAAAAAAACCGTACTCCTACTCAAACCTTCTGAAACCTACTTTCTTTACATCTCTTTTTCTCTCTCCACCCAGCTTTATCGTTACCACCCACTTACACTCTTTCTATTCCTTCCCGTGACTGCCTAAATAAACTCCCTTCATTTCTGTAGAAAAGAACAATCAACTTTGCACCATATCCCCCAGAAACTCCTGTACCAGGAGGTGGGTCCAGAGAGGCTGAATTCAAACCCTGGGTGACAGTTGAGTCGAGGGCACATATTTAGAATTATCCCAAATTTCCAAATGACAGAAAGTGGCTGTATAATTCGGGGTCCTGTTATTCTTTCACTTATTGCCATTTGTACCAATCATTTCACTTAATGGCTGACCTTCAATGCGGAGGGAGGAAGCAGGATGGAAGAGGAGCAGGATGGAAAAGGCCAGAAGATTTAAATAACCCACCTACACATAATTCAAAAAAGTGGGCTTGAGGAGAAAGATAGGAAACGTACCACCTAAAACTATTTCAAAAGTCTTTCCCTGAAGGGAAAGATTGGACAGAGATTCAAAATTGCAAGCAAAGATGAATTACGAGGAGATTTAATAGACTTCAGGACACTTTCAAAGAAATCCTAGGGCAGCCCAACAGCTTAAGTAAAGGGAACCTTTCCTTCTCTCTTTGGGGGAGGCTCAGACCCAAGATAGGGAACTTAGATAAATCGGCATGGGAAATGCCAGCTTAGACCTCCTGGCCATTTTCAAAGAGTCCTCATGTGGCTCCTTGGAGAAAACAATTGGTTCCTGAAATAAAAACAAGATCAAAACCCTCCTGTCTACATAAAGAAGGTGGAGCCTGTTGACGAGGACCCTTGTATTTACTGTGAGCAGAAAACCATTTGGAAGAACTCGTGGTCTAGATCGGTCCGGTGATGCCCCTCTGAGGAGACCTTAGCCCTCAACACAGTCCTCTCCTTCCCCTAAACTCTCAAGGGGAATCGTGAATAAATATAGTCAGACGACGGTGCTGCTTGTTAGCATGAAATCACCCTCTTCAATGCCAACTAGAACCAGGACTATTCCAAGTCCCGGTACAGGACCCAACACCCCCAGCAGACTGTGGGTCTGGTACAGACCCATGGTACAGCTGCCCAACACCCCCAGCAGACTGTGTCAGCTCACTCGGCATTGGAGAGCGTGAAGCCCTTCCTGAGGCTACCCATACCAGGAGGCGGACCAGACTTCTGAGGACAGAGGGGCCCCCCGTAGGAGCTGGACAAGCCGTGGGGCTCCTTTTCTCTCACCTTGACTGACATAGCAAATAATACAGCCCGTGCTCTGGAGTACCACCAACTGGTTGAAAATCCTTAGCTCTATGGATAATAGAATACCTTTGGATTTTTATTTTGGCTAATCAGAGAGTATGTACCTTTGCCAGCATGTCTTGGAGTCCCTGGATTAATACCCCATGTAAGGGGCCCAAAGAAAAGGCAGCCTGGCTATCCAAAATGGACATAGGGAATTTATTTTCTTGGTCATGCCTAGGAAATTGTGGATTATGATTCTGGTGTGCCTTCCAGACCCTTCTTTTAATTAACCTAATTATTTAATCTAATAATTAAACTCTTTTCATTATTATTGAAATTAATTTTTTTAAATTAATATTTAAATATTATTTAATTAATATTATTTGCCTCACACTCATTTAGCGGCTGCTGTCCAGAGAAGTCAAAGGATCTTAGGCGGCCATTGGCCCAATGTATAGCTCCACAGATGATTCAAAGACAAAACCAAAAGACATCAGGCCGGCCAATGCTCAAACTGAACATCGGATCGCTGCAGGCGGAAAAGAGGAACTGTGTCTTCAAGGAAAGTGGACGACAGTGGTTGAGCATCTGTGTAACCCCGGAGGGTCTTTCCTGCAGTTTTGGTTGAGGGAGGACCACAAAGGGAGAGGCCGAGAATGAAAAAGAAGTTCCCACTCTCCTAAGACCGATGGTTCTGTAACCACGGCTTAACAGGTAATCTCCAGAACCGGTTTCAAATCCATTTTAATCTATTGATGAAACTTTGCCTTAGTGACCATTCTTCTGAAAGCAAGAGGCAATAGTAGGTCCCCTTTCGCAGCTGCTGGCCTACCATTCCCAAGCACTCCTGCCCCCGAGATGCCACCTCCCATCAACTCAGCACCTCCCGGATCCCCTTGTAAATCAGCCGTTAGCTTTGTTCAGAGGCTTTGGCGTGGAAGCCCGATTCTCCCTTGTTGAGTGGGAAATAAATTCAATTTTTGTTTCACACATTGAGCGGAGGTCTCTTTCTCTACAGAGGCTCACATAGATGCAAATAGCCCGGAGATGGTTCCCTGTTAGCAGGGCAGCAGGGGTTTACACGTGCATTTGTCTGAATCTAGCATCAACGCATTCCACACCTTCAGCCCAGCCAGCAGTTTCATGGGAAAGTTTGGGGTGGTGGGGTGGGGGCAGAAACGCTTTCTCCTTTGAGTCCTGGCCGCAAAGAATTTTGAACTTTGGAGCCCCCTTCAGAAATGTAAGACTCTCAAGGGAGGTAGTGCTGGGGTCACAGGCACATTCTTTGGGGGATCATTCTTAAAGATCTACTACTGGGGAGCCTGGGGGGCTCAGCGGTTGAGCACCTGCCTTTGGCCCAGGGCATGATCCTGGGGTTCCAGGATCGAATCCTACATGGGGCTCCCTGCACAGAGCCTGCTTCTCTCTCTGCCTCTCCCTCCCTCCCTCCCTCCCTCCCTCCCTCCCTCCCTCCCTCCCTCCCCCCCCCTGTGTCTTTCATGAATAAATAAAATCTTTTAAAAAATAGAAAAAATAAAGATCTACTACTTATTAAGCTGTGGAATTTAGAAGAATTTTACTTCCTGAAGGCTGTTTTTTTTTTTTTTTTTTAATCTGTAAAATGAGGCTGACGATCATAGTATCTAGCCTGGAAGGCAGTTGCGAGGATCAGGTAATGGTGGTAAGTGCTGGGCGCCTCGGCCTGCTGCATCGCCAAAGCTTTGGCTCGGGAAGGTAAATGCTGACGCTGAAGGGGATGTGGCCCATGTGGCCGACTGGGTTGGGCTGCAGGTGCGCGGTGTCCTGCGCTACCGGGGCCCGCCTCTAGGTGGGGGCAGGAGCCAGAGCAAAGGGTCCTTGGCTTGGGCCCTGCGGGCTGTGAGCCTCAGGTGTCCAGGGCTGCCTGGGAGGGGACAGAAGGACCCAGCAGGGCCACCCTGGAAGGCTCCTGGAGCTGGGGGCCCCCCTGGCTCGGCTGGCACTGGCGGGGAGGCCGGGGCCCAAACCTGGGGGAAGCGGGGGGTCAGGGCAGTCGGGGCTGGTGGGCACCCCCTGCATCTGGGCGTGTGGGGGTACGGGCAGGGGGTACGGGCACGCTGTGCCTGTGGGGCCCGGGGAGCGCCGTCCTCCGCCGGCCTGGCCGGGGGCTCGCTCACCTGCAGCTGGCCAGGCACACGGGGGCTGTGATGTCACAGAGCCAGGGGCCCAGGGAATGCTGGGCTGCGAGGAGGGGCAGCAGGGACCGTCCCTGTGGGGCTCTGCCCTGTGTGCCCGGGCTGTGGCCTCCTCCCAGCCGGCCGTCGGGCATCGGGACAGAAGTCCTGGTGGCTGCTGTGACGCACCTTGAGGACAGCGCGGCCAGAGGTGGGCCCGACAGCCCAGGTCTGTCTTTTGTCTCAGAGACACCTGCCGGGTGCTGACCTTGGGCACATGGACTTCACCTCTGTCTGGGCTTTCAACTCTGCAAAGTGGAAACAATGCTGCTCCCTGGTCCCAGATGTATTTTTAGGATGGAGTGAAGCCAGGTGGGTGGAAGACATTTGGCGCGGTGCCTACGTGTTGTGAGCGTTCCCGCCGTCGTTGCTGTTGACAACACGTGCAAGAACAGGTGACACCTTCCCAGTCTGTCTTTCGAAAGAGGTAAAAGAGGGGGTTGCTTTATATCCGAGTTCTCACAAAATCTCTCACCTGAAGGGACACTCTTTCAAGTCCTTTATTTAGGACAACCAGGTGCTATTTGGGGAAGCCGAATTAGGTTAAAACATTCTCCATCAGTGCTGTCTTTGGATGCTGATAGAGGTCACCTGGTATAGGAAAAGGAAAAAGCAAGGGCGGTCCACACAGTTTTGCAGCCACGGGGTCAGTGGGGTAGGGCTTTGGGCGGGAGGGGGATGGGATCTTACCGTCCCAAGAATTTGACGGTGGGTTCAACAGTCCTTTGAACCTCACTTACAAAGCGGTCCCCGTAAGTGGCAGGTTCTCAACTCTGGCTCCGAGGTGGTTTTGAAATGTAAGAATGCCTTGAGGCCTAATTAAGTTAGAGGGGTTTTTTTTTGATTTTTAAAATTTTATTTAGTTATGTATGTATGTATGTATGTATTTATTTATTTATTTATTCATTCATTCATTCATTCATTCATTTATTTATTTGGGAGGGGAGTGGGGAGTGGATCCTGGGCTTCAGTATTTTTACAAAGCTTTCCAGGCGATTCTTGTGTATGAACAAGACTGCGACCCACAGAATTACACTGTGGAGATCGCAATGCCTGTAAACAAGTGGTTCTCAGCTCAAGGCTACACTTGGGATCACGAGAGGAACTTGAAAGAGTGCCACACCCCGTGTCCACTCCAGGCCAGCAGACTCACTCTGTGGGCTTTGATAGTTTTTAATGCTCCCCAGGTGTTTTCCCCAATTAAAATGTTGCCCTAGAACATCGTGTAAGTTTGAGGCGTCTAACGTGCTGGCTTGCTCCATTAATGTGTTACAACGGTATGACTACAGGAGCGTTAGCAAACACCTTTATCACACCACATAATTATTGTGTCCTTTTTGCGTCGTGCACGATGAAGATCTAGTCTTTTAGCAACTTTGAGGTTTATATAATACCGTATATTTTTTTGACCTGTCCTTATCCTTTTAAATACAGTATGATTTTAATTCTCTCTTTTTTAAGGGATTAGAATTTGACTTTATTGCTTTGAGTATTTTTTCTTTCACTTTTTTTTCTTTTTATTTTTTTTTATTTATGATAGTCACACACAGAGAGAGAGAGAGGCAGAGACACAGGCAGAGGGAGAAGCAGGCTCCATGCAGGGAGCCCGACGTGGGACTCGTTCCCGGGTCTCCAGGATCGCGGCCTGGGCCAAAGGCAGGCGCCAAACCGCTGCGCCACCCAGGGATCCCTTCTTTCACTTTTTTAATTGAAGTTCGATTTGCCAACATATAGTGTAACACCCAGTGCTCGTTCTGATTTTAATTCTCTTTCAGTGTTGAGAACCACTGAACAACATAGCTGAGTGTGAGAACCACATAGCAAAGTTTTTTTTAAAAAACCTAAATTTATCCTTAATGTTGTCTAAATGGGTCCTTTTAGCTTTTTCAAGGACAGCATTGTCTATGGGCTCAAAAGCACTATTTTCAAATAAGAAATCGAGACAATATACTTGGGAACCCTGTGTTAGATGAAGGCTGACGTTAAAGATGTCTGTGAAGCATTTAAGTGGAATTGTTTCAGGGAGCGGGTGAGGGTAGCAGTACATCCGAATTAATGGGTTTTATGTAATGTGCCACTGTAAACACGTCTATTGGATCTATATAAATAGAACTTGGTTATTTCATCCACGAACGTTTACATGTGTATGCAAGCTGTGGGACCTTGGCCATAGTTATTAGCCCCTGGAACCCTCATTTCCTTACCTTTAAAATCATTTAAGAGTTGAGGTGAGGAGTTGATGATGAGGCCATGTGTGCTGTAAGCAGGAGGGTAGAGAAGAAGTATTCCATAAATATTGTTTCATTATTTTCATTGTCACCATTATTATTGTTTGATGATGACAGGGATGGATAAGGAGGAGTATGGGCTGATGCCTCTGTGTCTGGCTTTCCCATTTATGGATATGAAATGAGAAAATTGAGGAAGAGGAGCACATTTTGGATGAGGACAAATTTAGGCTTTTAAATACTTCTGTTTGGAAGATAATTACACAGGGATCCCCGGGTGGCTCAGCAGTTGAGCGCCTGCCTTTGGCTCAGGGCGTGATCCCGGTCCCGGGATCAAGTCCCGCGTCGGGCTTCCCGCAGGGAGCCTGCTTCTCCCTCTGCCTGTGTCTCTGCCTCCTCTCTCTGGGGCTCTCAGGAATAAATAAATAAAATCTTAAAAAAAAAAAAAGAGGAAGATAATTGCACATTTGCAGGAAGTTGTAAAAAATGTGCAGAGAGATCCCGTGAACCTCGTTCACCCAGACTCCCCCAGTGTTAACATCTTGCGTCACAAACAGAATCAAAACCCAGGGGCACACCTGGGTAGCTCAGCGGTTGAGCATCTGTTTTTAGCTGAGGACGCGATTGTGGTCCAGGGATCCAGTCCCCCATCGGGTTCCCTGCAGGGAGCCTGCTTGTATCTCTGCCTGTGTCTCTGCCTCTCTCTGTGTGTCTCTCATGAATAAATAAATCTTTTTTTTAAAAAAGAATCAAAACCCGGAAATCAACATTGCTACAATCCATAGTACATGTGTGCTGTGCGTGGCTGTGTGTCATTTCACTACATGTGTGGCTTGTGTGAGTGCACCACAATCAAGACACTTAACTACGGTCGCCACAAGGCTCCTGTGCACTAACCCCGTTGTTGTCACACCCACCCTCCCGCCCCACCATCTCTAACCCCTGGAAACCACTGATCTTCCATTTCTGTAGTTATGTCACTTCATGAATGTCACATAAATGGAAACATACAGTATACATGTATCTTTTTCAGGTTGCTGGGGGTTTTTTTTGTTGTTGTTGTTTTGTTTTTTTTCCTTTTTTTTTGTTCTCACTGGGCCAAATTTTGTTGAGGTTCATCCGAGTACAGGGTGTATTAGTAGTTCATTCCTCATGACTATTGAGTCGTAATCCATGTGTGTTTAACAATTCACACATTGAGGGATGTTTGAATGGTTCCTGGTCTTTGTCACAAACAAAGCTACTATGAACACTTAAGTATTATTTTCTATGTGAAAATAAGTTCTTCATTTCTGAGGGATAAATGCCCCAGGATATAATCGCTGGATTGTATGATAAATCCATTTTTAGTTGTTTTTTTTAAGATTTTTAAAAATTATTTATTTGAGAGAGAAAGAGAGAGAGAGAGAGAGAGAGAGAGAGAGAGAGAGAGAGAGAGAGCAAGCAGGGGGAGCAGCAGAGGGAGAGGGAGAAGTAGGCCCTCCTCAGTTCCAGGACCCCGAGATCATGACCTGAGCCGAAGGCAGACGTCCAACCAACTGAGCCACCCAGGTACCCTCCATTTTTAGCTTTGAAAGAAAGTGCCAAAATATTTTCTGGAGTGACCGTCCCATTTTTCATTCCTATGAATGAAGGATCCTATTTTTCTGCATCTCCTCCAGTGGGTTCCCCCCACCCCCACCATTTTTTATTTTTTGCCATTTAGCCAGGTGTGATCTGGTTTTCACTGTGAGCGAATGTACAGGTTTCCAGTGGCTAATGATGTGGGATATCTTTTACTATGCTTATTAGTTACCCACGCATCTTCTTTGGTACAATGTCTCTTTGTGCCTTTTGCCCATTTTCTAGTTGGATTCTTTAAAAAATTCATTTTTAAAATGATAGCTTCATTGAGATATAAATCATATACCACAAAATTCACACTTCTGGAAAATTCAGTTTTTCGTACATTCAAAAGGTCATGTCACTATCACCACGGTCTGATTCCTAAATTACCCCAAAAGGAACTCCATACGCATTAGCAGCCACTCTCTGTTCCCCTTCCTTCCAGCCCCTGGCAACTACGAACCTACTTTCTGTCTCTACGGAGCTGCTTGTTCTGGACGTTTCATAGAAATGGAACCCTACAATATGTAGTCTTTTGTGTCTGGTTTCTTTCACTTATCATAACCCTTTTCAGGGTTCATCCATCTCGGTCTTTCATTTCTTTTTTCAAATAATGTTCTCTTTATATGAACATATCCTATTTTATCTGTTCACCTGTTGATGGA